TACCACCTTCTTGAAATGAGGCAAAATGTTCCAAACTACCAATTTTATCGACATCGTAATGTACAAAAGAATTTCACTGGAGGCTGCTAAAAATAATTTGTAAACAATCTAATCAGTACTGAAGTTTGCAAACTTTCAATACATCCCCCCCCCCAAAAAAAAACATATCTAACATCGAAATCTCCAGATTAAAAACCAATGTGTCAACAATGTAACGGTATTCCATTCATTTTCTGACATAAAAAACAGTGTTCTGAACTTCAAATTAATCTTCTCGTGTTCCATTTAACAAACAATCTACAATTTTTCCGCTATATTGTAATATACCGAAACAAATTTTTGATTTCAGTATTCTGAAATGCTGAAAGGAAAATATCTATATTTATGAAACTTTGATATATCATTTCCGTTCATAAATGTATACAATCACTCACCCAAACGTCTATTATTTTGTGTAGATGTAGCCCCCGCAATACCAGAAATCGCAAGTACATATATCTACAGAGATGCGCGTATTCTGGAAGTAACAAGTTTGTCCCGATGTTTTCTTTCACCGCCATGGAGAAAAGATAGGTTTACTAAAAAATAAATCTTTGATATTGAAAATAAAACGAAAATTCGCTCGACTTGTGAAGTGTCACAGTTTTGCAGTAAACAAACTAAGCCTTTAATGCTCGTGTTATCTTATGTTGTTAAAAATTTGCAATTTTACTCGTGTATTTCCCTCTTCAAAATTAGAGAGGCCGAACATTTGTTTCGGCAGCAGTCATGTAGGAGGGCTAACACTTTTAGGAACATAAGTCTATGACCCTGCCTCTGCTCGTATGTAACCCGCTCGAGCTCGTGAGAAGCATTTTACCTTGTAAGACTCTCCCTATGTTGTATCTCAGGTGAACACTGAACATATTATATTCACTAAACCCTGCCCATGGCCTTGCGAGGCCCGCTAGAAGATGCATGGATCGTCTCTCAAGGCCACCGACCCAGGAGCCTCTGAAGGCTGCAGAGGGTCGGAAACAACAGAAGCGAGCCGCGCGCCGCATCGAACTCGGCAGCCGGTCGACCGACCGGTGCGCCTCAACTAAAGAAGTGTGGCGAATAGCGCATGGCTTCTGTTATTACTACCTCTAGTTGCTCGCTGATACGTTTGGGAGAATTGGGCTCGTTAAATTAAATATTTTCTTCCCGAATCAAACATCCTGCAAGTCGTAACATTATTCCAAATTTTAAAATACCCCGATTTTCATTGTAGTAGTGAAAGTTGAAAAATATCCGAAGAAAAATTCTTGTTCATGGCAGAGTTGCGCTAATAGAAACTGACATTCACAAAATTATTATTAAACTGAAAGAAATTGGTGTCATTAAAACTTAAAAAATTCCGAAATCATGAACTTGTATTCCTTTCTTCATTTCTTTTACTTTCCACTATCCCGAATATCTCTTTGAAATATATAAACTTTTCTCCCAAACAATCAAGATGCAACGCCACTGAAAAATAATTTGTTTTAAGATTTGTTTCTCGAAGCCTGAAAAAAATGGTAGGTTTTCTTGGCCAAAGCGGTCAATTGGTAACTCTTTCTAATTCCGAGCCGACGAGTGCCATGCATCAGCGTATTTCCATATTTAAATATGGAATATATTATTACTAATGAAGTTTATATACAAGCTCCTATTGCAAAGTTTTGATATAATCTGATTCATTATCTATATACATAAAATGTATAGTAAAATATAATATGTATGTGTGCATTTTTATTGTATTTATAATAAATTTTCTCTATGTACAATATTTTTTTTTTATCTCTGCAGATACTGAATGTAGACAGTACAGAAGCTGTCAAGGTTGCAACCACACCCTTTTACTTACACCCCTTTACTTATGCAGCGAAATATCAATTATCACAACAAAAATTATTACGCAATTTAATATGACACTTACCTTGACGAAGAATATTCCCAAACCAACAGTCCTGCAGAACGAAATTTACATTTCTTTTCACCATCAAACCACGCACAACACGTGCACACCCTTCACTCCCCTTGCTCGGACGAGACCGAACTACCCTCTTCGAACGTACGAACTGCCCTCTATTGGCGAAGGCATGAATTCGCAAGCCAGGGTATCCAACCATTCATTCATTTCTGTCAAATAATCAATTCGGTCTACGGGTTATGTTCTGTAATTCTAAAACCACCCTAAAGTGAACAGATGCAAATATAACAGTCCTAAACTATTTCTGTCTTTTACCCAGTCGTAAATAGGCTATATTTTATACGTAAATGCTCTTGCAAATTTTGATAGCTTCCATTCTGAAACGTTTGTTTAAAAACTAAGGCAATAATTTTTTATAATTAATATTTTATGTACAAAATATCAACAAATGCATTAAAGATAATTTCGTTCATCATTCTGGTTTACTACAGACATTGTTTATCACACGTGCCACCAAAGTTTGTTTTGTTAAGCCGAGCAAATTACATGAAACTTCATTTATTTCCAATTATCTATTTCATATTTCTATATTTCATTATGTTCGCTAGTCAACTGAATGTTATTTAAATTTCTCAATTTTGTTCAATTTTGTACATAGGTATTCAACCATTTCTGTGGTGGTAACAATTTAACAAGTTAAATTGATCATGCTAATAATATAAAAACCTCCAAAGACGGATAAAAGATGGTGCTTTTTAAACAAATACTAATAAAATTATACTGAACTCCATCCAAGTGGAAGAAAATGAAGATCTAATTCATTGCAATTGTGTGAATACTGATTTATATGCACAGATGTATGAGGGGGTTAAACTTAACAAAAGTTGATATATTATCATACATACACTAAGGCAAAAGTTAATCACAAAAATATGAAGAAAAATGTCATGTCTATAAGTCAATGTTAACATTTTTAGAATTACTCTATTCATTATATTCCTTATTAAAAAATAAGAAATTGAACATCATACCTAATTATTGTTTTGTTTTTTTTATTTAAATAATTAGAAACAAATTTATAGTAACAAGAACGCAGATCAAAATATAAAACAAGAAGAGAAACTATATAACAAACAGATAATAAAATCACTTCATACGTCAAAACAAAATACATGTAAAATTAGTGGACATTAACAGGAACATTATTTATTTCCTCTTTCACAATCTCAGATCAAACTATGTCAGTCGATCAGTGTCAGTCTAATGTGAAAATTTGCATTGTAAATGTTAAAATAACTTTTAAATAATGAAATAATAATTTTAGAACAATTATATTCACATGACATCAAAGTACATCTCTCTAGATTCAATTTAGGTGTAATTGTATGTTTCTAGAGGAAATGGTTGATGCACAAAAATGTTTAAACATTAGAGCAAGTAGGATTCTTCCAAAATAAAATGTTGGTAATAACTCTGAAAGCCGTTGGATTAGAGAAAAAAAAAAAAATTAATTCACCTATTTTCAACCTCAGATTGCATTAAAAAAAGTTTTAAGTCCCTAAAAATTAGAAATATTTTATGAGTGTACAATTTGACTTGGATTGACTCATATATGAAATGAGACATACCTGTATGAAAGAAACTAGATAATTTGGTAAACCACTTCATTTTCTTATTGTAACCTGTTCTAATAATGGTTTTCCAATTTTTTGAAAACACATGTAGTTTTTGTGTTATTTATACTTAAAATAAAGACAAATTATAATTCTTTGATATTTCATGGCACGTACAATATTTAAAACAAGTAGCTTTCACATAATTTTTGCTTGAAGTAAATACAATTTAAATTTTTGTTCTCAAAACAGACTCCTAATATTTTTTCCAATTTCTCTCTCAGATAGAGCAAAAGACACTTAACAAAAGGTACAAGTATACTTTTTGTTGAACTCTAAGAATTTTCAAAATTTGGAAATAATGCGCGAAATGTATGCTGTTGTAGCACCACAAGCTCTATTCTGCTACCATGGGACTGAAAAATTGAGTAAATGTGAATAAAAAATGTGTTTTAGACACTAATAGGTGACAGCCGGGAAGAAGGTGGGGGCAAAACTGAAAATCTAGCTGACACAAAACTGATAAGGAAACTAAATAGAATAAGAAAGTTTGAGCCATTTCGTAGGACCACTAGTTAATGATGATCAACATTCGCCTGACCACAGTAACTGATGACACTCTGCCTGAAACATGTCCTAAACTCTTGCTCCACTATGGCCTGCTCTAATTTACTAAAATCATCTATTACCTGAAAGAGAGTATTACAAAATCTCACTAGACACTAGTCACCAGAGGTAACTGCTTACTAAAATTTGCTCTTTGACAGTTTAGCTGACACTAAAAAGAAGAAAAAATTACACATGTCTTAGGAAAAAATCAATCGGTGCACTGAAAGCAATAAATTATAACCATTATTTAAATGTCAAACAGTGCCTGTTTTAATATAGCTTTGTGCTGGCTAGATCGCCACTCAATATCAGAACAATAATGGGAATAATCTTGGAAGCACAATATCTTGTGTCATATCCCAATCTACTTCTCAACCCAATTCACCTCTTTAACCTTTTGCCTTCCAAGAACAATTTTAAAAAACATAGAAAACATGGCAAATAAAATATGCAATGATATGCAAGTTTCCCTTAAATATGTGTACTGTTTGTTCCTGGAAATATGAACAAGTATGGTTAATGAAATGTGTTTCAAATAACTTTAAAAAGTTTAATTCACAATCCTATGATAAAAGTTCAATTTTAATTTATAAAGAAATGAAGTAATTACATACCATTCCTGAACTTGCTAATTATAAAACATCACCATGGAGATTTATGTATAACCTTCTCATTCTGCAATGAGGATTCATCTTCAACAGAACTTTAACCTCAATCATTCAATGTGGAGCAATATGAAGAAGGGAGCATTTGCATACCAAGGCCAGTGTAAGGAAAGGGATCAAGTGGTTTACCATGGGAGCAGGTATCATCTGGGTGATGCACTACATAAACCTTGCATATATATATATATTTACCCTGCTAGGAAAAACTCTGACTTCTAGATAAGTATACCCACAATGAAAAGTGAAAAGAATGACTCAATTCAAGACAGCATCTGGTCAAGGAGTTAATAGCAGATACAGTTATTAAAAATAGTTCCATCAAGAACTCCGAATATGGATTTAATTTTCAAACCAATTCCTACACTTTTTAAAAGATCACTAATACATGGTGATTTTTGCTACAATTTTTGTTCTTTATCATTTATGTCAATTATGAAGGAACCAACCAATTTTAGAAAACTTAATTTTCCATTAAAGTACAATTTAATAAAAACTTGTTTCTCATGCTTAACAACATTTAGGTCATAGCATATATAAAGTACATTCACGAAACAAGTGTAAAACATTTGAAAGCTGTGATTAAAGAGATTTTAATAATACTGTCTGAAGGTGGTGTTTCAAAGCAATCTTATGTTTTGTTAAACACTTAATTTCAATGAGGATAAAACTGAGTATTTTCAGACAAGCACAAGGAAAGAATCATGATTGAAAGGGAAAATGAATTTGCTCAAAGAAATAAAAATAGAAAAACATATAATAATGTGAAATGTATTAAATACAAGACACCATTATTTATTCAACCTTATTTACAACAGCATCATGATGAAAAGCAAACACTGACATTTTGACATAATGTTCACACATTCACTACAAATGATGTTCCACACAATAGTTTACTTCTGCAGAAGAAAATTCAATAAAATATCTACAATTATCCATCTTTAACAACTCATGCACCAACTTCTTGGTGAAGTTTGGCTTCAATTCTCTTCTTGCGTGCAAGAAGTCGTCGTTCCCGCTCGAACTCCTTCATTCTAAGCACGTAACTGAAAATAATTTGAATATTTGAAAATAAGTACCAATGTCAATAAAATTCAACAGTTTCTTCATTCAAATGAATAATATAAATTCATTAGTCAGAATAATATAAAGCAGTATACATGTAGATACTATTAAAATAGAGACATTTGTAATTTTGTTCCACAATAAAGAAATAAAACTGATCAAAACTTTAATAACTGCCTTTTTTTCCTAAATCAGAACAGATGAAAATCAACCTCAAAAACCTAGCAAATATACTTCGCTGCTAATGAAAGTACCATACAAAATGTAGAAACTAAGACAAATTTTATTGTTCATGGAAAATTCTCAATTCAGTGAGATAGAAACTGAATTATAAATATTTGAGACAAAGAAATTCAAAATTCAGTTATCTAAGAATAAGTTTGATAGTTTACGTGTAATATTTTTTAGAAACATAACGTCTGGCATTCATTCCATTTTGCCTGGTACACAATATCTAAACAAAAATTATCAACTTCGAATTAAATTATCAATTGATTGGAAATATTATCTTTCGATTCATGGGAAACAAGATCACAGCTGTCCCTTGTAATGCTAATTACTTTTAAATATCCAAATTATTCTAGAACATACCTAAAAAAAGGTAAACAGATATTTAAGAGAAGAGTGTCAACAAATCAATTTTATACTTAAAAACAAAATGAATTAATTATTTTTCAAATTATACAATTATGACATCATAAAGAAGATATTACTTTAAAAACTAAGGATAAGTTGAAGATTAAAGGCTAAAAATATCACAAGAAAATAAAACTGGATTACACAACAAAGACTAAATTCAGAACTTCAATATTAGAAAAGAAGTGAGGTTTGAGTATGGAAAAATTAAACAGGGGTAATTGTCAATTTTCTGAACATAATATACTTGTAAACCAGGAGAGGAATTTTAAAGAAAGATGGGTACATTAGACCCAACACCATTTACATTTCCAACAAAATAATCCACTGATATTAGACACCCACTTTCTGAGGTAAGAAAAACCATGCAGGTCTTATTCATCGAGTTCAACTACTTTTCGGAAGAGCTCCTGAGACTTTAAATTACTTAGAAATAGGTACACAACCCTTTGGATTAGTTACATGATATTAACCCGTGTTTCTTTTTTCATCATTTTATTCTTTCCCATTAATAAAAAGCAAATTTGAAGAAAAATAGACTGTGTAACATCAATTTGCATCGAAAGTTTGACATTATCAATTGAATCGCTGATTTGAAAAGAGAAGTATGTCCTTGTGACATAATTCTGAGAAAAAAAAAAAACCTTAAAACATCCACTTATGAATCAATATAATTATAGAATACATAATGGTGTGAATTAACATATTGTGGTATATGGACAAGATAAATCCTCTTACTAAATTAATAATATCAGCATTTTCTCATCAGTTTCTACTTGAGTCTGTTGCTGTATGAAAAATTTCTGGTAGAAACACAGATATTTGTGTGGGATGTATGTTACCATTTTTGGACCAATTGTTACTATTTTTTCTGTTGATTGGGAGAACTGAAACAAATTTTCTTTAAAGGCAAATCAGAACTTGCCTTCCCTTTTGCGAACATGAATAAGTACCAGGTAAGCCCATTAATACAAGAAAGATGACAAAATATTCTATCATAGGTTAGCTGGTTTACTTCGAAAGAGAACACAATGCTAGCAATATGGACTGTCAGGATGAGTAACCGCCTTAGTTCTTAAAATAGTTCGATTACCAGGTTTTGAAGTCTATTATGTCCTCAGTGTCTATTACTGTAGTCATGAAACACTTAAGTATTTCCTAGCTGATAATACTAGTTCTGTGTGATGATCATAAACTAGTCCTGCACTTCTTTCTTTTTTCCAGACATTAGAACACATTCTTTAAGCTGAACATGTTTCATTTCTACACAATCTATTGCTTGAAGAATAACAAAAAATGTACAACACAAATCTTTTAATAAAAAAAGTGTTCTCATTTCCCTCTTAAATTCACTGATTCAATTGTCAATGATACACTGGGTAAAGCTTCCTCCTCAATTCTATGACAAAAACATCCATTGATGATAGAAGAAAAATCAGTGGTGTAACTTCAGCTGGTGTCATCACCCCTCTCCCCATAAATTAAACAAAGTGATATATTACGGAATTATTTGTACATTTAATGAAAATAGAAATATATTTGAATGTGACGGATTTTGATGTTAAAAAACTGTATGTAATTCAAAATAATTGAATTATAATTTATTAAAAACAATCATGAACATTACATAGTTCCAACTAAACTTTTCTATCCTCCAACTCAACTATGCCACTTGGTTTCTTACGAATGTTTTAATTAAACATTACACATTCCATTCCATTTTGATGCATTCTCTTACATTAACAATATACACAGATAAGTACAATGTGAGGTATTACAAATACTTACTCTTCATATTCACAGGTCAAATATGCATGTTTTTCGTGAGCACACTTCACAACAAACGGGTAAACATCTGCACGGCAAGCTCGGAATTTCAATAATAGATGAGCACAGTAGTCACGGTCTTTCATTGCTAACTTCGCAGAGTTCATTTCTTCTACAGTTGCAATCATTTCTTAGAAAAAAGCATATAAATTAGCTATGGTATCCATCTCAAAGTTGGTAAAAATAGTGAGTGAACATAACCTTCATTACAACAAATAATGAATTTGATAGCTGCATTGTCCTTGAGAATATTTTCGCCAACACATTTCAGGGAGAATGATTAATATATTTACGGTAGAATATTGTAATTACCTCTTTCTTTCCGTCCATTTGGGAAACCAAATTCTGGATCGAATACCGTATCTTTCAAAGGGCTAGGTGTGATATCAGATCCATGGAGAGGTTGAATATTACCCATTATTCTTCCAGAAATAAAAACCAATCACCTGTTCCAGAATGTGAAATGATATAAAACGCAACAATTATGACCCTACTTCCAACCCGATGTAGATTCTGAGCTGCTGGAGCTCGGAGTCACAGAGCATCCACTGTAAAAAATCTTATACATTCTCTATGCTCGAATCAAAGAAATTTCGCCATTGGCAGGCCATTGGTTTGATGACTTCAGCGCTATCTTGTGTGTGTACAGGTCGTTAAAAGATACAAGTGGCGGGAAACGTGACATGCATGAAGTTCATTGTGAATTACACGCGCATTATATAGAAGTAATTATCGTAGAGGACAGAATGTCGATCCTCTATAATAGTGTATTGTCATTAATGACGTGTGAGTCAGTTTAATAAATTTAAAAAGTGACATCAGTGAAATTAACTAGTCTTTCTAGTCCTCATTTTTTCAATATCTCTTCTATGCAATGGAAAACTACGAGAAGATAAAAATTATTGGCAGAGGAACCTTTGGGTCTCAAATTGATATTTTGTACTTCACTTACGATGCTTCCTTTGTGATGAAAGATTTATAAATCATATTATTTTCTTTCAGTGTTGTCTATTTGTTCAAAAATATATCAGATGGAAAACTGGTTGTTATCAAGCAAATATGTGTTCAACAAATTACTGATGAAGAAAAACTCTCTACTGATGATGAAGTTAAGGTTTTATCAATGTTACATCATCCACTCATAATTGAATATTACACCAGTTTCATTGAAGATGAAACTCTATCCATTGTTATGGAATATGCTGCAGGTGGAACACTTGGAGCCTTTCTACGAGGAAGAAACAAGGCTCTGGAAGAAGAGGTACAAACTTAGATTTACTTAGATAAAGTTTTATATATACATGTCTTTTTATATATAACTACTAATTATTAAATCTCAATATAATTCAATGATTTTCATTCTTGAAAGTAAGTTTGAAGAGAATTGGAAATAACATTTTGTATGATCATTGTAAAACAGAATATTTCAAAAATATTTCATTCATTATATTTTAATTGTAGATTACAGATTTTGTGAAAAATAAATTCTCTCAGCAACAAAATCTCCCTTCAAAAAATGACATAAATCCTGATTTTGATTATTTATTATATTTATATCATTATCATATATTATATCATATTATATTCATCAAATCATTTTTTTTTGTAGGATGTGTTGAATTTATTTTGTCAAATTCTGCTTGGTCTGGAACATGTACATTCTAAAGATATTGTTCACCGTGACCTCACTACTGATAACATATTTCTTACAAAAAATTATAAAATGATTAAAATTGGAGATTTTGGAATATCAAAAATATTGGCCAGGTAGTGCTGATAACTTTGGTTTTTTTTGGACTGTGAGTATTTTTTTTCCTCAAATTTTTATTAACTATTTTGCTGTATTTTTCTTTCAGCAAGTCCAAAGCAAATACTGTTGTGGGTACTCCATGCTACATGTCACCAGAATTATGTCAAGGAAGACCCTATAACAATAAAAGTGATATTTGGGCATTAGGATGTGTATTATATGAAATGCTCACTTTGAAAAGAGCATTTGAAGCACCGGTACAGTATCTGATAAACACACTTAATATCTTTAGAAAAGTAACAAAAAGTTTAAATGTGTTCTGCAGAAGAAGGAAGTACTAAAACATATTTTACTATTATAGTTAGGGGGCAAAATAAATTTAGGGAAGAAGTAGATTTAAGACAATCAATTTTGCTTAACTGTGAAAATTTGAAATGGGTTAGGACATATCTTGGGGTGATTATAGATAACTATCTAAGTTTTAATGATCATGTTCAATACATTAACAACAAAATAGCAAAGAAAGTTAATTTTTTATATAAATTGAGGAAAGTTATTTCAAGACCAGAAAGGAATTTAAACTAATTTTGATTCCCCATGTGCGTTACTGTTTACTATTCTTACTATGGTAAATAAAAAGGAAATTGAAAAAATACATATTAACTTCAACAAAGGAATGAGAGCTGTTTTGAATAAAAGGCATAATGAAAATGTTAGCAATATGCTAAAAGAATTAAGATATTTATCAGTTGAAAAGGAAGTAAAAAGAGATGTACTATCATTTATTTATAGACTAGAAAAGCCACTATTATCAATATTGGGATTGTTTAGTAAGAAAAAATAATGAAGTTCATCAGTACTCTACAAGACAGGCTAATCAATTCATTATGGAAAATGTGCAAACCAGCAAAGCTCATGAAACAATATTTGATAGAGGACTGGCAATGTATAATGAATTGCCACAAAGCATAAAGGAATGCGAGTCAGTTGGGGAATTTAGAGAAGAATCAGGTGTTTGGTTGGAAAGTATTGAATTTAAAATTAATATATAATTTGCATTGTTAAAGGATTGCTATTTTGATAATATTGATTTTGTTATTTGAAGAACTGTTAAAGAATCATTGTTATAAATTTGCACAAAATTGTATTGTTAATAATTGTTAAAACTATGTAGTTAGGCTGCTGTGTTAGTGAAACATGATATTGATATTTAAATTAGTCACAGACTATTTGTAAATACATAAAAAATTAATATTGTATTCAGAACAGTGAAGAGATTTTTTGGAGGAATTTCTGCATCAAATGAAACAAAATTAAAATATAAAATATTTTAACAGAGATATTATATTATATATATATTAAAGGCAATTTTGTTTGACTTGTAGGAAACTTTTATATAAAAATTAACAATTTAGAACTTGCAGATGAATGTTTAGTTTCTATATGTTTCAAGTAGAATGTGTTAAAAATAATATAGGAGCCAAAGTTAATCTTTTTACTCATCACATCCCACACTACTGGCATAGTATATAGAGAGTATTGTAATGTTGCAGCAAAAGCGAGTGATTTTTCAACAAGAATGTGCGTTCCCTTGGTTCCTAATACCGAAAAAGTGGATAATTGTTCTTGTTGGATATATTAAAAAACTTCATGTAACACATTGTGTAGTTGGATGTTTTGTGGTTCCTTGATACCGAAAAATTGGTTGATGTCAAAATGCCTACCTGTCTATCCATCAACAACGCTAGTGGCTAAACAGTACACAGGATTTTTACCAAAATTGTTATTCCCCCATTGGTCTGTTGATGTCCCCTTGGATTTCAAAAGGATAATGTGATTTTGGGAGGTACTTTAAGTGAAGCTTCCAGGACATATTCAAAGTTTTCGCAAAATTTGATCCAAATTTTTTCTCAGAGAGAGGTATGTCTGTAAAAAATGGTAGGTTCAATTTTCATTGAATTTTTTGACCTTTTGAAAAATTGCAAATGTATAACATTTTTTTGGCATCTTCCTACAACAACATATTGAAGATAGTGATTTTTGTTTCTGTAATTAAATCTATACTTCAAAATTATATCTTTACACAACTTTATTTAAAATTTGTTCAAAATATGAGTAGTTTTCATGTTTTTTGCATGAAATAAAGGTAATTTTAAACAGTATTTTTCAAAAACTCTTAAAATTTTTCTTTAATTTTCTTACTCAGTTATATCAAAGGATGCTGAAAAAAGTTGTGCAGGTTTCATTTTCATTAAAACCAGTGAATTTTCAAAAATTGCAAGTTACAAATAATTGAAAAATATGAGTTGTACCACTCCTAGTTTCTTACTTCTTTTTTTGTTTCTTCCTTAAGTAATTGGAATTTTAAAATTGGCCTTTGTGATTTTCATTGGGCATACCTATTGAAAATATTTTCATTTTTTAATATCTTTTTTTTAAAGGAGGTCGTATAACTTCATGACTAATTCTTTAAGATTATCAGACTATAGAATTATTTTCAATTTCTTAAGATTTAACTCAAATGTGCATCATTTTTAGTAATTAGCATTTTCATAGAAATCAGTTCTGGAAATTTTGAATGATGTGTCAGTTTTCCTTATGTTATTTTCATCTATTCTCAGTTAAACTTCTCTTAAAGTATTCGCTGTTGGTTCTTAAAAAAATGGACTGTAAAAGTTGATGAGTGAATGTAACTACGTGGTTCTATGAGACGAAAGGTGCTTCATTAAATGACAAAGTAATTTCTTGCTCGTTTCAAATAATGTTGCTCTTCTCTTGTGCAATGAAGATAAGATGTAAATGTCTCTGAATTCCTATATTGAATTAAAAATTGATTTGGAAATATTAAAATTGCACAAGCATTCAGTAATAACCTATTTTCTGGCAAAATTCTATATTGGTGGGTATTCTTTGGAAAGGCAATTTAATATAAAATAATGGTTGTACGGATATTGCAATTTCTTGGATAGCTAAAACTTCACAGTACGCTGAATAAACTAAATCAGTACTTCAATAATGTACCAGATTTTCTTTGCTCCAGAAGATGAAAAAGTTAATGGAGTGGTTTAAACTTAATGTTTACTCTTCTGTCAACTTGCCTCCTAACTGCTACTTTTCATGATTACCAGGGGAAAAAATACTCATTTAAACTGATTATAAATCAAAAATTTGGTATAGACAAATAAAGCCTAATGTTTTCTTGTAAATAACTCATAAATTTAGAAAGCCTTCACCCTGTACTTGCTATGAGAATCCAGGTATGCCTGACCACCCTGTGAGAACACTGTACACACAACCAAAAAAACAACAACAAAACATTACCAAAAATTATTTAGATTCTCCTAATTTGAAGCTAGCCAGTAGACACTGATACATTGGTTGTGAGTGAACAAAACTATCCAATCTTTATCAAAATAAGGGCTTAAATCATCACCAGTGTCTCCAGGACTGTGAAAGTCACTAAGAACAGAAATCAATTAATTTTTGTTCTTAGTTGATTAAAATGTTTTTCGTTTAGAAAGAATGTTATTATACAGTCAAACCTGACTAAATTGGAAAACCTCTTTTAGTGAGACTAATCATTAAGTCCTGACCTTTTCAATATGAACAAACCTAGCGGTAAAACCTGGTGTCTGAAACGGTTCTTTAGGAGAAGAGCATAGGCACTGAAATGAATAATTGCTTAATGGCTTTTGATTAGGAAGTGGAGTATTCCTTGATCAGTGTTTTGAAATCCATTTGTTTTATGTCAAAATAATTGCTCCAAAAAAACAGAAATATTAAAGGAGTGGTTATTCAAATTAGTTTCACCGATTTTTTGATGTACATCTAAAATGTTTTCAAATTTGTGGCTTGTAAGAGTTTTGATTGAGCTGGCTGAGATACTATCAGTGTTTTTTGTAATACATTTTATTGCTTTTACAGACACTTCCCAACTTGGTTTTGAAGATTATGGAGGGAGCATTTCAACCCATTGAACATCACATATATGATGTTGAGATTTACAAATTGATGAATTTAATGCTTCATTTAAAGCCGGAGTTCCGTCCATCTGTGTCAAAAATTAGAGTGCATCCCATTATTTTACAACCTTTGTATTCATTATTTGTAAACTTAGGTAATATTACTTAGTTTCAAAGTTTTTCTAGTATAATAAAAAAATATATTTATTTTTATCATATAGGAAAGGAAGCATGTATCATAATGTTCTATTCTTAAAAATGAAGTTCTAATATAATATTTTCAAGATCATTGCCACTTTTTTCAAGTTGTATTTTAGTATTATTAAGAATTTGTAAATTAATATTACAATTCATAGTATTATTCAGTAACAATTGGTTTCATTTTCAGTTTAATTAGAAATATTTTACATCGCTCTTCTAGTCATTATTCGCTAATAAACATAATCATTATAAACAGAGAAAAACCTTGTGATATTTATGTTATAAACCCATATTATTATTATTATTATTATTATTATTATTATTATTATTATTATTATTATTATTATTATTATAATACATGATACATAAAAAACCTGTATCCTACTATAATAACTCATAAGAAATTAACTAAAAATTGGGTAGTCATTCTTATGTTGAAATCGAAAAATTTATTGAACTTACCATTATCACTTCTTTGTGTATAAGACTCCTACCATATTTTTTCCGAGTAAGTGGGAGAAAGACAGAGGCAAAAAAAGTTGTTTTTTTTCCTTCTTTGAAGATTACAGCTGCAAACTGATTCTAAACACTTTCTTAGATCGTAATTACTATGTAATTATTCACACAATAAAGCAAATTACATGATTCTTTACGAATAAGATAACTTTAATTATGGGTACCCTGAGAGATATTTCAAATTAATGATGGTTCTGTTGGTATTTTGAAGTACTACTGGATGTGGTGAGTAAAGAAAATAAATCTTTGATTTAATTAAAGAAAGAACTGGGAAAGAAATGACTTGTATACTTTAACCTTGACATTATTTTTAAAATCAGGTTGAAAAAATCTCACAAACTCTCAACTCTTCACTCAAGTTTAGCACATCATTATAAGCTGGTGTGTGAATGAAGTAAATAATCCATTAAATAAATTCTACTGTGGAATTCAAGAAAGAAGATAAAAAATCTTAATCTTGATTAACTACTTTATTAGTAATATTTTCTTTTTCTCCGTATTACATTAAATGCATTGGAGAAAAAATAATAATAAAATAAAAATAAAATTGTGATTATTATTATTCATATATATATTTATATAATATTGCATCAATATCTTGATTCATGTACTTACTTCAGTCAGTAGAACCTTGTACAACTTGGGTCATTATATACTATGCATCTAACAAGGGATGATAATGTTCTGAAACATTGCAGAAAATGATTAATTATACGTCTCACAGCATTCATGAATATGAGAATTATACAAACTTAGAAGGTCCAATCAATTGGTTTTAACTTCCTTAAATCAGTTGAAACAATGGAGCAAAATTATTAGTGTTGTATATCAATCCATTGCTATGTTTTTTTTAGTAAAACACTGTCCTTGGAAAACCAGCTTTCTACAGATTATAGGGATTACTAATAACATTACAACTATAGGACAATATATATAAAAATGTCTTCTTCATACTATAAAGATTATTATAAAGAAGTTTATATTTTCGGAAATAGAACTGTGAATTAACTACAACTAAGTTTGTGAAAATACATTGGAAGCATAAGAAGTATTGAGGATGTTCTATAATATATATTTAATAGCATTGTTGTTTCAACTCAAAATCAAGATGGTTTTGAACATTTCTTCTTTCTTTTTATGCAGACAAAATACCAGTTTGTTTCCCTTATCATGATGTCATTTAAAAATCTCTATTCATGAATGCTGTAGCCGAAAATTATCAATATACTATATTGAAGTGCAACCCTCAGTGGATCTATGTACAACACATGTATTTACAGATTTCACCTCTATACCATATTGCCTCACCAGTTCTGCACTCTAATTGTGTAGGATTTATTAGTTATAACAAAGTATAGTATGCAGAGAAAAATTAAAATGGTAATTTGAAAAAAATTACATGTGAAAAAAATGTATGTACGTTACAATTAAATGAATTTGTATTTGAAATTAATTCAATAAATTTTGCTATGAAATTGTATTAATAAAACTGATCTGCTAGTGATGTCTAAAAGTTCTATCCAATAGATATATTATTTTCTTTATATTTCTTGATGAAGATTCATCACGCGTATCTATAAAGTCAAAATAAACCGTGTAAAATATTTATTGTAGTCTAGGAATTTCTTTTCTTGATGGTTTGTTTTGCATTTAGTTATTCAAATTTCTTAGCTGAATTGGGTAAATATATTTTATATCAATGTAATAACAAATTGATATCAATAATGGCTAAATATTCAACACACCAGTGCAGATATGGTGATGGCTAACATAATATTTTAAACAGTAACAAGGCACCATAACTCTCTCACGTTCATACAAGTGTGTCAAACCAATGTTACTCATTCTCTACTATAATATTTCTTATGTTTCTCACATGATGTGGAACTTTATATTACATTTAGTATAGTTCAAGTAAATCAAAGTTTTTGCATACAATGATTTACTTGCTGGATTTCCTGAATGTGCTGATTACACAGAATACCCACATTTGAGTTTTTGAAAAAAATAGATGAATGAAATGATTGAATTTCAAAAGATTTTAATTATACTAACTGAAAAATTGTTTAATGTAATTCATCACTCAGGTGCTTTCTTCATTTAAAATACGATTAAATTTGGAGAAAAAAGGTATGTTGAAGTTGTGGAGATTCTGTGCAAAAATATATCAAATGAAGGTAATATTTAGGACTATCACAGTTCACATATAAATCCATTGTTAGTATTGTCATCAACACTCTCCTCCAAAAGGTCTTTCTTTTTTCATGATAAAAATACAAAATTTGTAGAGCTATTTTTTTTAATACAAATTTTGAACCAGTAAGTGAAATTTAGAGAAAGAAAGATCCCAGTGATTCATACTATCAAAAATGGTTACTGTAAATCCTGATGGAAGAGAAATAAAGAATTTGGGAAACTAACATTATTTTATGTATTACTGAATTATTGTATATTAAATAAATATACTTATCTATAGCATTATCATAGGAGAATGAATTTGAGTGTTAATGAAAATACATTTATTTTGTTACTTTTAAATATTCTGTTTGAAGACACACATTAAACAACTTTTATTTCAACATTCCAAGTCCCCAAAACAGCAGGGAGTTCTTAGAACAACTTCTTCTGATACTCTTCCCAACTTGTAACAGTTTCTCTACTGAACCTTCTTTACAACCTAACATCATCCTGTTCCACCCAACACCACATGATTGCTTTTCACATTAATAGTATATATGCACTTAGTTATCTGATACATTAACTATCATTAGTGAAAGTAGAATAGCTGTACAAAGATTCTCGTAGTGTGGAGTGTAGCACTGTTCAGATTCTAGCAGCCAGATATGCTTGTGGTTTCAGTTTTCATTTGTTTTCCAGTTTATTGGCTTTAAGTTCCATCAAGATATATGTAAGGTACACACTTCTATCAATTAATAACTTGCTTTGTGCAATTACCTGTAAGTTACACTCATTTAAAGCTTTGCCCATTTAATGCATGTAGCAAAATTTAAATATTTAAATGATGAGTTATCAACAAAGGTTCCATTTCCAACACACACAAACGTACAAGCAGTCTCATTTATTAAAAAAGTAAGTACAAAATAAATCACTTCTGATCACATTAGAACAGCTTCATAAATCTGTTAATTAATAAGTTGAAAGAAATAAAATTCACATTTTTGCATTAAATAGCTACAAAAATTATTTTTGATGGCAATATTGAGCTATTTGGCCAAAGCTTTAAAGATGTGTGTTCTTAACCAGATTATGAAACTTAATATATTTACATACAATGCACAAATAAAACAAAGTATGACAAACATTCAAATTCAAGTTGATACACACTTCTGTATCAAGTCAGTGTGTTTTGTACCTACAAGCCTGTTTGCTAGCATGATATGCTCTATAAATTAGTTGAAATTTACATATTGCTTTTGGATTGATGACTTCATTGAATTCAAGTTGACCCTAAATTTTAGAGATAAATTATTTCAGAAATGGCACTCTATATTCCTACCACTTCTGCATCATGCAAGAAAAATTTCATAATCTGTTCTAATATTTATAATGTGCAGCTCAATCCAAGTTAGTCATCTTCCTACTGTGTTACAAACTAACCTTCATCACCATCTTTCTGTATTGCTTTTGCTTACCACATACATAATAGCAAAAATATTGTAACAAGTAAACAGTAATTTGTGAAAAGTAATTCATTTATAAACAACATGAGAAGGACTGAAAGATGAGTGTTATAATATTGTGATTAATATATAAGCAAACTATATATATTTACATAGATATAACATATGACTGTATATTATTCAAATACCTGTCACTTAGAAATTTAAATTCTAGCATAGACAAAATTCAAGAGAAAAAATGTAACAATATTGTATTGTTGAGGAAGAAATTTGGTAAATTCATTCCTTCTCAAATTGTATGGCTCATGTGCAGCTATGTTTTCATACAGTTCAGATGAACACTAGTGTGGTGCAGAAAAATTCCTGCAGACGTGGTGGTCAAAGAAATTATTTTTTTAGCAATAATTAGAGTAACTTGAAATTTAGTTCTTTAACTAGTGTGAACTGCTCAGAGCATTAGCAATAACTTTAAGAAATTGGTTCCATACGAAAACATTAGACTATACATGAGGGAAAAATCAGCAAAAAAGCTGCCAGTGGCAAAATGTTTCAAAAAGTTAAAAGCTGCATCTAACACATCTGTTTCAAACATCCCCTGTCACAAATGAAAGCTAGAAAATAATTTACATGTGTTGTATATTTATAAAAACTTGCATCACATTCTTGTAGTCATTTTAACTTCATCAACTTTTCTCTTACTGTTACTAATAACGTACAATGAAATGTAAGAATCTAAACTTTTATTACTTATATGCCACCTAACTCTGTGAATGATTGTTTTACAGAATTATGTAAAAACGTCCCCCTTTTAAAATATGTAGCATTTAAAAACCATGGAAATAAGAAAAATCACAGCACTGTATAACATCTTCAAAGTCCATGGAATACACAAAACGTCTGCTGTGTAGAAAGCAGGTTCTGTTAGCACTCCCATTCTTGGAATAGAGCAAGAGTGAGTACTTCAGAACCAGTTTTTATGAAATCCTCGAGCAGCCATAAGATGCTAGATACGAAAATTAGAGAGATTTATGCCTGGATTTCAGGTGTTCAACAGCCCTTTTGAAGTGAGTCTGCATAGCTCAATGCAAACAGCTATGTAGCTCTCTCCTTAGCACTCAAACACAAGCACACGTACACAGGCATGTGTCTACTTGTGCAGCACATGCCCACATAGAATTTCACTTCCACATACATTCATAAAAGTAATTATAACAGTCCACAGGATTCGTTGGATCTTGTATATGTCTCATCACTCATTAGTTCACCTTTGAGCTCTGTCAAAGCCACCAATTAACCACATTCAAAGATGCAAATTACTTCTTTCAATATACAGAGTGCAGTTTCAAAATAACCATTTAAAAAAGTAGCTACACTTCTCATTATATTAGGTATAATTATATTATTATTATATCAAAATATTTCTGAATTGTAATTAACAACATTCAATATTTAATTGTGATCATGTGATTTTTAATAGAATAGACATATTAATGGGATTACATTTTTCTACAGAAAGAAATCAAAGTTAATTAATAATAACAATCTTCATGAATATTCCATCAATAATTAAATATATTTTAAGCTTCATTTCTTAAATATGATTAACTGGTTGCTGGAAGAGTTCTCTTATGGGTGATCATGCAGGTCCAGACTTAGAATAGGAAGAAGAGAATACAACCTGTCACAGAATTGTGGAAAAGGGTAAGCACATTAAGCACCCATGTGTTAAGAAGGGTGCTTTTGCCCCACACTCTACAAATTTCTCCCTATATGAACAGCACAGACACGTCCAGCACAGCGAGCATAGGCCTTAGCTCTTGCATCACTGAGATAAAGAAATCTCCCATTATCTTATCCAACATTTACGACACTACACTGTGATGCCACATCATCTGGGAGTGAGTAATTGCAGGGCCAGCAGCTGAACACTAGCTGCCAATGACACCACCAGTAGAAGAGTTGCTTTCGCAGCAGAAGAGGACCCAATCTCCACACATTGGCCTGTACAGAGAATTCACACATCTTTAGGTTGCACATTTCTCAATGCTTAATAGTTATTTTTAAAGATTATTTTTGAACTTTTGTTATTGTCATAGTGTTTTAAATTATTGAATTTTTCTTACATTATTCAGGTGGTTTGAACCATTATTGCTTTGATTTTTGCATACAATGTAATGATGGTTGCATGCAATTTGCTGCCCTAATTTCAACCCAAAGCAGAGTTTTAATGCAGGGCTTTTTAACTGGAGTGTGGGAAGAAAATTAGGGGTGTAGTATATATTTTTATAACTTAATATACTGCATGCAGCAACTCATAAAGTAAGTTAACCTATTGTTTCTATCCTAGTGTGCCCTCTCTTTTTGTTGCAACACCCTATCCCCTCTATAAACTCTCTATTTTGCATCACCCCATTATGAACTTACTGAATTATTGGTATCTTGTCATGGCAAAAAGTGTATCCCTTGTCAGTGTTTGACATTTTCAAATAGTACTTTTAAAAATTATTTTTATTATTATTATTATTTTTATTATTATTATTATTATTATTATTATTATTATTGTTGTTGTTGTTGTTGTTGTTGTTGTTGTTACTATATTTCAAGTGTCAACTATATTTCAAAATTTCACTGTCTGTTACAACACCATGTCAACCGATATATACTATTTTTGAAGTTCTATGAAATATGAGGAATATTCCACTCCATTCCTTTTTTAAAGACCTTTTGCATCTGAATCTTATGTGACCTTCATCAGCCCTAAGAACAGTGGCTCTATCATCTAGTATCAGGTTTTATAGTGTGTTCGTTCAAGTCAAAGGGCGAAGAACATATCCGCCAGTTTCTTTCTGATTAGAAGTACACAGTGACACATGTTCTTAATATTCCTTCCGATGTCTATTTCAAGGGTCTTTTAAATCAAAATTTTGAAAAACTCTGAAAACTTAACTTTGGAGCTCTAGGCGTCTTCTCACTTAAATTCAGTGGCTGTTTTGCTACATAGCAATTTTGCAAAAACAATGCTTTTGCAAGAATAAAAACGATTTATTTCAATTTTTTAAATTTATTCATTAAGTATTTTATTCTGATTATGGAAACCATGGTATAACTGTGATATTATATTCCTATATAAAGAGGATCCTTTCAGGAAACGTTTTGTCTTTCTGTAACTGTATTTATTATTGAAGCTTGTGTTCAACCATAACGACTTTCCGAACCTGTTCCGAAACAACCGTTCTTGTTCATACATGCTGTCCGAGGCAATTGATACCCCGACGACTTTTATTATGTCAGAGCTGCGCGGCCGCAAAGCCGGCAGCAGCGCATGGCGATTTCTGCGCATCGGTATGTCTCCATGCGATCACGAAGGTCCGAAATGCCGTGGGCGGATCTACAGACAAATTTTGGGAGGGGGAATTAAAAATGTTTCGGTCGAATTGTCAGAGCACAGATTTTGTAAAATGTCGGCCACACTCAGCTTATGCATCTCTCCGATTTTATTCGTTTTATTGATCATCCGAAAATATTTTTGCTTGAATGTTTCGTGACAAGTTAAAATTAATAGTTACTGAAAAATTTTAGGGAGGGGGGGGATTTCCATCATTTCCTTCCCTGTGGATCCGCGCCTGGAAGAGCAGTCACAAAACCAGTACTTAGTGTGGTTCATAACCCTTAAACTTTTACTTAATAAGTGTATATTTCACTGAGGTGGTAAAATTCCACGTCGCTCCGAGTTCCCGTGAAGGGGGAGCGGCGAGTGGCGAGCGTCACCTGTGCTGGTGACGTTGAAGGCGAGCCCGCCGCCGACGCCGGGTCGGATGTCGCGCCGGCAGGAGGCGGCGGACGACGAGAAGCGCACCACGCCGCCGCCGTCCGCCTCGCGGTACATGAAGCACAGGCGGCGCGCGCCGTGCGAGCGGCGGCTCAGCGGCGTCGTGATGAGGAAGTGCGTGCCGTTGTCCTCCCAGCGGCCGTGGCACGAGTACGCTGCGCACACGCAAACAACACTCATTGCCCACTCACACACCCACGCACGCACGCTGGGTATGCGTGGGGAATTAATGTATTCCCAGGCACGTCAAATGCTGTAAGGTCATTAGTCCCGTTAGTGTTGTGAATGTTTTGTGGCTGGAGGTGGCTGTTGGTGAGATCCGGCGCTGACCCACATGTTGGTTTGCTGGATCTTCCAAGTAGGGGGCGCCCCTTCCCCCAGCCGAGTCAAGCTCTAGGCTCCAGACTGGACACACAACATGTGGTAGGGCAGTGCATGAAACTGCGTGTGTGTGTGTGTGTGTGTGTGTGTTGATTGGTTGTTTTAGTGATTCCAGGCACGTTAACTAGTTAGTTAGTCCCGTAAGTGTAGTGCATGATTTTGCTTGTGATGTGGCGATGATCTGTCCCTCGCTGTAAGGAGAGATCCGACATCGACCTACCGGTGGCTAGCGGGGTTTTCCCCAAACAGGTATCTCTCCCAGCAGGGCACCGCCCCAGTCGGGACAAACACTAAGCTCCCGGCATGTGTGTTTGTGTGGTATAAGTTAGTGTACGTGTGTGTGTAAGGGGAGAGAATAGGACGCGGAAGAGGTGGGAAAGAAAGCGGTTCGTGTCTCTTTTCATATGGTACTGCTCCAGCATTCGTCTGGTATTGATACAAGAAATCTCCCGATCAGAGCAGCCAGCCTGGCTGTGTAGTTAGTGTTGAAAATCCCCACCGATGGGGGACTCGAACCTAGGACTTTCCGGTCAGAGTTGCTGCAGAGACAGGGCCACTGGCTTTAAGTTAAACTCAGCCGGTGAGGGGAGAGGGGAGGGGTGCCATAAATTTTTTTTGTTATTTGGAGGCTGGAAGACAGTCGGTCTGATGTAAATAATGGTATCTGTCACTTTAAGCAAAATCGAGAGTGGACTTTTGAAACCAGTATTGCATTGTAAGTGAATTTATGAACAGTTAACAAAAGACAATCGTAATTTATTTGAGCGTTAAGGCATGAGTAGCCTGTTGGGTTAAATGGTGTCGTCATATTGTATTTTTCTAGGAAAAGTGAAAAGACACAGTTTTTTATACATACACTATTAACACCACTTGCACTTAGACCATTACAATGACCATTACATACAATTAGTTGTTTTTTTTTCGAAAAGTTCACATCTCATATCTGTCTCTGTCAAAAAAAGAGTTAAGCTAGCTATTTCATTCAATATACGTTTTTTCTTTGTTAAATGCGAAAACAACTCGAATTTATTATTTGTTACTATAATCTTAGAAAGTGAGGCTGTGCCAGACTTCGAATATGTCACTTCTATACACAAGTGGCGTTTTCCAAACGTGCAGAACTGAACAGTTGAAGAAGTTGTGAACTTTTCGAAATTACCATTTCAAATGTGTTTAGTTGCGAGAGGTTCTACTTGTTATTTATTAAGAAAATATGAATTAGTTAATTTTGGAGGAGAATGTTTGTCAAAATATGTCACATTAAGTACGGACAATTGTGTGACAATTACAGTGCAACTTGCAAACTCCCGAATATTTGCAACCAATTCATACTCTCTCAATAAATGGCAAGATGTACGTCTGTTTTTCTCAAAATTTTTTCAAAAAATAGTCTTCATTTGTTTCGTCAACATCTTCATAAACCTTTGGTCCGTACTTGCGAAAAAACTCAAGGTAATCATAGAAGTGGTAGGGACAACGCAATGATTACTCTCTTTTCTCACATTCAATACAAGATCATTAAAAACAAACGAAAAACGTGGTGATAACATGCTATTCAGAATTAAACCGGAAAAATTCTGTATCCGATCAGTCTCCGATCACCGTAACTACAGCTGGAGTCTGATGCTGGTTATTGCCTGAGCAACAACAGCCTACCGGAGGAATATAGCAGATATGGAAGATGACGGGGTGATCCCATAATCTTTGTTGAAAAAACTTTTTTAAAGTAAAGTATATATACGCATGCCTGGAAATGTTATCAGTAGGAAGGTACACTTTGAGTGCAAGCTAATCTTGTCTCTTGTTCAAGAGTCAACCAACAAAACTTTGATAGAGCAGAAAAAAACTTTAATTTTTAAAGTGTTACTCCATTGAAATACTTGTAAATTTCCATTTAACAATATAGGTGTTGTGGTGTGATATCTTTGGCATTTTTCATAAAATAATTAAAGACGTTGTCATTGCCAACAGTATTAATCCAGCAGACAACTGATGATGATGGCTAAGCCATCGAAAGCTGTTTTTGCATTAAATAATATTGTTGTGGAATGACAACGTCTCCATTTAACAATCTCATCTCATCTTAATAAACTCTCATCGGTTGATATTTTTCAATTTCTTCGAGGATACAATGTAAAGTAAAAAATAAGAGTACGCTATAAGTATTATATGGCAGTAAAGGAATTTTCTACTACACCGAAATAAGCTATGTGAAAGTGCAGGGGTAAAGTTTCAGAGGAAAAAATATTGCATGACTAATTAGAAATTGATTACTAATTATTTTCAGTTCATGGAATAGTCTTCCCGAACTTTTAACGAATTTCCAATATTACGAGAGGTTGAAAAGTTTGCGTTAAACAATCAATTATTAATTTCACAAAACACGAAACTCGAGTGAAGGAATACTTACGCAGCTTCAAATTTTCACAAAACGCATACCAGAAATCTAATGAAATGACGATTTCGGATTCGACTGAATTGGAGCAAAATTCAAAATAAAATATAATAGGACAAGTGGGACCGGAAAGAGAAGTAGTTTATAAATCTCCAGCAGCTAATAATTTCGTGGTAACTGCTACCAAAAGCCTAAGCATTTACATGCGAAGTTTCATTTTCGTTTTTACAATGTACTTTTGCAAAACATTGTTTTTTTAAACTCCTGATATTTGGCACTGCACATGCTGATGCAGTTAAAGCGATTTCATATATCAACCGAAAAGCAGTGAAAGAGGAGTTTACTATAAGAGATTTCCCCATGTTCATTGGCAAATGTGATCATCTTCGAACCCCTACACCCTCTAGAATTTTGTAACATTTTTTGGAAGACTAATTTATGTAGTATTTGTAATGTAATGTTCCTACGCAGTTGCAATGGTGAAGAATGTACGAGTAGAAAAACCAAATCAAATAAAGAAAAATTTGATATATAATAAAATGAATTATACTATTTACTTGATTATTGCAATGATAATATAAAAAAAGAACAAACAAGCAGCGTAATAAAAATATTCAGTCTTCGTTTGCCAATTTATCAATCTTAAGCATCATTATTTATGTTTCCCACGTACCCCTCACCGAGCAACGGCGCGTCCTTCGAAGCGCGCGTTCCGCGCGTTGGAGAGCGTCGCTACAGCGCGTGCGGCGGGGGGGGAGGGGGCGTTATCACGAGCCACGCCCCGCTGCGCCTCCGCCGCCGCCAGCCGCCGCGGCGCGCCCCAATTAATTGTCCGCTCCGCGCATGACAGCAGTCGAAAAACGCACGCGCGGCCCTCCCCCCCCCCCGCCACAGCCGCTTTCGCTCCTCGCGCTCTCGCCCGCCCACGCCCTTGCCGTCACTGTCAACGGCACGCCGCCGACGCCGTCGCCACCGCCTCCCGTTCACTCCCCCCCGGCTAACACTTCCAAACCTCGCTCAACACGACCGAGAAATTCGCTGCCATTGTGGCCAATGTCACCACCACTTTTGCTTTTGCCATCGCCTTTACCACGTCTCGTTCATGTCTGCTTTACAGACCTCTCCATACCAGCATTCCAACGTTGTTGACATCGTCGCCAATATCACCACCACCGCCACAGCCTATGTCCCTACAAGTGCATTTCTAACTATTCCAATCCTCACTCTTTCTGGTCCACATTTCCTCTGAAATGATCACTAGTAGGGTAGTAGGATCACAGCGAGTCTAAATTTATTATTTTACACGATTTATCTTCTGTTTAAAACCAAATTTAAAAAATCTTTACACAATTTTTGGGAGTTCTTCAAAAACGTAGGAATTTAAAATAGTAAGATTACTTATCAACCTTCTGAGATACGAATTCTTATTTGAACATATGTTTTTGTCTTACTGACTATCACTCGTACGAGTAGTTGATTCTCACTCCAGTATCGTACACAAGATAGCATTTTTCCCCATGTTCTATAAACAAAGATGGAGCCCTTATCCCATGACCCAGAGGCTGAGCCACCGTTGGTCGGTCAAGGTCCGTATCGGGCTGTCGAGCCGAAGACAGGACAGGAATAGGACTCTCTCATACCGATGCCATTTTTCGCTATACTGCTACGTCCGTAGCTGCCTCTACCCGTCCTCGCTACCCTCGCCGTCTGCAGTCGTGGTCATTGCCGTAAATATCCCCACCACGACCGCCACCGCCATCGCCCTTGCTATCCCCGTGACCGCCTCGCATTCCCTGCCCACATATATTGCTTACATTTGGAATTTACGCTCTACTCGTCCACCAGTCGTACCAACATCACTAACGCCACTGCTGTAGCCGTCGTCTGTACCATTCCTCTTGCCCATATTTGCCGCTTCCAATCCTCTATATGCCCGACTTACAACGTCATAGCTATTCCACCAATATCACGACACTACGATTAACATGACTCAACAAGATTATCACCAATCAAAGCACCACCGAGACCATAGCCGTGTTGGTTCCAATTCCCCGTTTACGGTATCAGTAGTGATTGCAGCGGAAATATGTCGGTGTTTTCCGGCTTAGGATTACCAAACTTCTACTGACACCGACATCGCAACTGAGAACGGCAACCACGGCAATTTCTACCACTTCCAATAACAGATCCATGCGTCTGCCAACACCGCCGCTAATGTCGCTAATTTCACTACCACCGTTGCTGCTTTCTCTGTCACCGTCATATCCCACTAGACTTCTTCATATCATAGCTAGATAGCTCTGCCGCAGTCTGGAGGAGAATTCCAGCGGCCAGCTGCTACGATCGTTTCCTATGGTTTCTCTGATCAATACCAGATGAATACCGAAACAGTAAACTAACAAAAAGTTCATAGACCACGTGCGATATTTCCTTCTTCCTCTTCCTTTCCTCTCTGACCCGCTGAAGAAAATTTCCAATAAGTCGACATGTCTGTCGGCACCGGATCCATCCAGCGGGGTCGAACACCGCCACCTCTCGGGATAAAACATTCACTACACAAATTACTAATGATTTCTGCAGTTGACGTGCCCGGAAGCATCAATCAGTCACACGGCCTTTCCTGTCCTGCCTTTCCTCTTTCGTCTCCTTAACGCCTTGCAAGATGCACCCCTGGACTCGTCCTAGTCCTAGGAGCTCCAGCTCGCTCCCCTCCTGTCTCCACCACACACTTGGGCACGGCTCCTGGGCGTTCCCGCCTTTGTGCCTTCTTCGTTTCTTCTCTCTCGTCCGTTTCTTCCTCTCCTTCCCAGTTCCGTGTTCTACGACCCCATTCTACCATCAAGGCCTGTTCCGTCACATTCTCCTGCTTCTATCTTCAGCCCTGTCCACAGCCATTTAACGTGTTCTGCCCTCGTTGTTAGTCTCATTCTTTCTCTCCTCCAACCCTCCCTATCCGTTTTATATTGCTACTTCTGGACCCGGCCGCCGCTCCTTTGCTTCGTACCCCCCTCTAGTCACTGTTTTTAGCTCTGCCAGCAGCTTCTCGGCGTGCTGTGCATACGTCACCTGCGACACATTCTCCATCCCTGTTTTTTCTTCTCATACTTCCTTGTCCATTTCCTTGGTGTCGTCTGAACTCGACAGCTTTGATTCTCCTCCTTGCTCATTCCACTGCCATTCGGCCTCCATTATGTGCGATTCCACTCCATCGTACCTCACCTTAATCGCACTCTCTCACACTTCCGTCCTTCTCTTCCTGAGTTATTCCCCATCCCGTTATGTGTTCTCGGATCCCATCGCTCCTCCACTGTCTACTCCATCCTCTCTCTCTCTCACACCGCCTTGTCTACAGTTCCCGCAGCGTGCTTTATCTTCGTCATCTCGGCTACCCTCTCTTGCCCGTCTCTTCGTCTTCTCCTTTTTCTCTGCTCAATACCGTGATCTATCTCGTGGGCTCGTCCACCTTTTCATTGCGTGTTTCACCTCCCTTCGCGATTCGTCTTTGATTCTGTTCACATCTCGGCGTCCTCATCAACTCACGCGTTCATCTTTCCTCTCTGCCCCTGCCCTCCAACATTACCTGCTTCGCTCACTCTCCCGCCTCCGCCCCTGTCCCAGCCCCGCTCCCGAACTCTGTCCTTCGCCCCCTCATCCACACCTCCCGCCCTCCCCCTGGCAGCCTCCCCCTCCCCTGAAGCTTGACCTGCTTCGCCCGTTCTTCTGCCCCGACTGTCTATACCCGTGCTCGCAAACTGCCCCTTCGCCCCCTCAGCCCACACTCTAACCGTCTCCCCGCCTCTGAGCCCACCGCCCCCACATACCTGCTTCACCCACTCTCCTGCCCTCCGCCCTGTCTCGCAGCACTGCCCCATCTCCCCCTCAGCCACACCCCTCCCTGGAGCAGACCTGCTTCGCCCACTCTCTTGCCTCCGCCCTGTCCGACAGCCCCGCTCCGCGCTCTGTCCCTCGCCCCCCCTCAGCCACACCCCGTCCCTCTCCCCGCCTCTGAGCCCGCGCCCCCACATTACCGGCTTCGCCAGCTCTTTGCCTTTCGCCCTGTCCACAGCCCGCCCGCGAGTTCATGCCCTTCGCCTCTCTCAGCACACACCCGTCCCCCTCCCCCCCTGGAGCTGAACCGCCTCCACATACCTGCTTCGCCGCCTCTTCTGCCTCCGCCGTGTCCACAGCCCCGCTCCACGCGCTCTGCCCTCCGCCCCTCAGCCACCCCTGACCGTCCCCTTCCCGTCCCCGCTTGCGTGCGTCGTCCGCGGGCGCGTGTCCGCCGGGCTGCTCCGGCGCCGCCAGCGGGTGCGATCGACAGCTTCCGCAGCAACGTGCTCCCCCGCCATTCCCGCTCGGTGGCACGCGCGGCCTCGTTACAGCGCAGCGAGGGCGTCACGTGACAGCGCACAGCGCCTCGCGCCACGCGCCGCCACCCGCGCCCGGCGCGCAGCGCCACGCACACTGAAATGCGGCCGGCCGCCGAGGTTGCGTCAACCGCAGGGGCGTCCACGACGCTTTTTTCCCTCCACGCTCTCTCGCCACACGGTTCTCCGAGTTTCCTTTGAATTTTACTTTCTTTCGTTTTGGCAACATTTGTATTATTTAATATTATTTTTAATATTAAAAAACATAAAAAATATCAAGTCTTGAATGGGTTCTAGCTCCGCGGCCGGAGTCAATGTATTCTTGGCTATCCGGATGAGCCGCGTCTCGGTCAATGGTTCTGACGTTTCGCCATTTTGCTGTGGCTTTCTTCAGAGCTATACTGCTCAACTATTACTGCTATATAGCTCTGAGAAGCCACAGCAAGGCGCCGAAAACGTCAGTTACAATTGACCGAGACGCGGCTCATCCCGCTATAGCCAAGAATACACCAAGTCTTGTGTCGATATTGAGACGCCGTTATTGGTGAGCCCTACTTTTCTTGGTTCTATATTCCATGAACTTCTTGTCTTACTGAAGGTCTTGTGTGAACGCATTTGTGAGATAAAGACACTATCTCGTTTTCTTATTTGCCAGCTCCTGACTTTAAATAGAATCTAATTAACAATATTTGCTGAACAAAAAATTGTGCCGAGTAATAACGATGTATAAAATGTTATTTCAAGATAATACCTAGTTTATAATTATTGCCAACTCTCCTTGACGATTCGTTCAAGAACTTCCAGACTTTTTCAGATGAGAGATAGTTTCCTGCAAGTTCTTCGTTGTTCTGCTTCAATTTCTAGTTACTAACAATACGTAAAAAAACGGTAGCATCAGAGAATTGAATCATGATGATTAATAATACTATTTATGTTCTTTTCTGCCAGAGCCTGGTCGGTGAATTTAAAACAAATTAGCGACAAAAAACCTGCTCTAAATTGATAAAGCCAAACCTAAGCCGGTGTAAGCTGTTACGCTTGTTCCATCTGAATAAATGCCGCAAATAAACAATCAAAATAATTACAAATTATTACAATCAATTTCTCGAGAAGAATATCCAAGTGTTTTGTCACCAATCATCAGTTTCATAAAGAACTTCAACTTTAGAAACAGTTAAACATCACATCGTATACCTGGCCTCTAACTTTTATGTATTATTTACCCAATATCTTTTCTGACAATCTTCACACTCGTAAAAGATCATTACCATACTTAGAATAAAAACAAACAACAGATATTCCCTATCACATATTCCTCAAAAAAATACGAATTCGAAACCTGAATAGAAGCATCTAGTAGGAATCCTCAAACTTTCGTTAGTGTTTATGCCTTCTAGAATTTAAGTTTTTAAACATACGTTAGTACTGTAGCTTTCAAGATATGTAACGTTGATACTTAAAGTGACAAGTACAACCAAACATAAATCAATAGACTAAAGGCTTCTGTTGCCGGGGGGGGGAGGAATCCTTACAATATATTCTTAAAATCTTTCTTCAATTTCGAACCTGAATAGAGATTCAATAGAGCATCCTCAACCTTACGTTAGTTTTATGTTTTAGAATTAAGTATTAAACATACGTACGTAAGCCTTTCACAGATATGTAACGTTGATACTTAGAGTGACCAATGTACAACCAATGGACTAACGCTTCTGTTTGGGGGGGCAGGGGGCTATCTTACAATATATATCTTAAAATCTTTCTCAATTTCGAACTTTAATAGAGGATTCAATAGGCATCCTCAACCTTACGTTATTTATGTTTTAGACTTAAGTTTTCAACATACGTTAGTATAGATATGTAATGCTTTATATTTAAAGAGACCCAACATAAACCAATGACTGAACGCTCCTGTGGGGAGGGGCGCCATACGTACAGTGCACGAGCTCCGCCGCGTGCACACGAGCGGAACTCCATGGTGTCGGCGGAGGCGCACACCGACCGCCAGAGGTGCCAGGAAGGCGTCGGCGCACGCGTCTCCTCGGCATGAAGTCGTCGGAGCCTCGCGCCTCCCGCTCCTACCTCCTTCCTCCTCCGCCGCACGCGCCCGCCGCCCGCGCCCGCGCCCGCCCGACAGGTTCGCGCTGGCCGCGGCCCGCCGCGCGCTGCTGTGCCGCGGCCGCCGCCGCCCGCCGCGCGCGCCCGCGCTGGACACCCGTCACCGAGAACTTGCCCATGTGCGGGCACTCGCGGAGCTCCGGGCTGGTCGCTGCAACGCAACACGGCGACAGTGGGTTACTTGTGTCGTCTGGTTGATGCGCGTGGGGGCGCTGATGGCTGGTTCTGGCGGAACAATCGGGTCACCGCTTTCCGGATAGGCGATAGACAAACCATGTAAAGATTACTTTTGGATTGCGAATTCTCACAGAAATTTAAAAGGAACATTTAAAGAATTACCAAGGACTCCGCAAGCACTATAATAATAATAATAATAATAATAATAATAATAATAATAATAATAATGCTATACTGGGAGAAAGAAATAAGAACAGATGTTACTGTAACAGCCAACCGCCCTGACATTTTGTTCTTGGGCAAAAGCACACAAGAGGTGCATATAGTTGACATTTCCATCCCTCTCACTCATAACATCAATACTACCTACAATACAAAAATGAGCAAATATAAAGACTTGGCAGATGAGATAAAGAAGCTCTGGAAGGTACGAAAGGTCACCGTTCATCCTTTAGTAATCTCAAATACCGGAGTAGTGTTCAAACCGACAAAGCGTCAACTCGAGACGTTAGGAGCCGGAAAACTGCTGATGATAATGGTTATTCTGGATACACGTCATATAGTAATAAAATTCCTAGGAGAAGATCTTAATGAAACTAACAGAATCCACAAATAGTGCCCGTACTTGCTCGCCGGAGCCGTACGAGCGAGCCTAGCCGAAGTGACTACGGCAGCTGAATCTCCCCCCCCCCGCCAGGAAGAAGGGAAAAAGTCATCATAATCATCATAATAATTATAAATAACAATAATAAATATTAATAACAATAAATTACTATTATTATCCTATTGTTATTTAATAATAATAATAATAATAATAATAATAATAATAATAATAATAATAATAATAATAATAATAATAATAACCGATCCGGATAGTCGACATCGCTAAGACACCAGTGGCGTGGCTATCTCGGACGAAAGGATCGCAGGTTCCAGTTCCGCCTCGGGCATGGATTTGTTTGTGTATGTCTGTATATGTGTGTCGTCCATTCATCCTTCATTATCATCATCATTCCATCTTCACTCCCCCCAGAACTAGCAACTTCTAGGGATAAAAATTGCATTCAGCGTAATGTTTATCCTCACAAAAAGGAGTTACGTACACTTGCCAAAGGGATGATGATGATGATAGTAATAGAAATAGAAGTAGATAGTAATAGAAAAATACCCTGGAATTTGAAGATTTTACACACCTTATGTTGTTAAAGAGGAGCAGGTATAGATAGTGCACGTAATCATCCCAGATTCCTTAGTAGATCAAAAGAACAACGAAACTTTCGAAATATCGTGATCTCCATCGATGGAAACGGGAGGCTGTAGTTGTCCGAGTACTAATTGGATCTCTATGAGGTCGTCCATAAATTGCGTAACGCAAAGAGGGGGGACGGGATTTGATGTAACGTGACCCTGCTTTACGTAGAGGTGGGGGTTACAGTTCAATGTTCCGTAATGCTGATATTTATTTCTAAAATATTGTAACATTTGCTGAAATAATTCCTTTTATTCAGTCTTATATTGAAACATTAAAATATTCTCACAATCGATTAAAAAATACAAAAGTTATGATGTATAAATTGTTACAAAAATGGAAACATTTTTTCATCAATAGTATCTCTTTTGTAAATTGCGAAGTAAGCAACATAATCAAGTAGTTACGTTTTTCAGTAAAAATGTTAACTGTTTCATTGTTTAGGATTTTTTCCAAGCTCCTGTGTTCCATGTATTTTGTCAGTCGTACCAACTATTTAAAAAGAAATTAGTACCTAATTACCAGTTTAAGAATAAGGATATCCTTACAAAAAGACTGGGACTTGTACAGTTAGAAGCACATTGATACTTGCCAGCAAGTGAATTTACTTCCTTGAAATATTCCAGAGCTTTGTTAAAACAAGCGCAATTTGTGTAAATCCTATTAAAAAATAAAACAAAATGCAACGTCAGACTCTCGATCATACACCCGTCAATTGCAGATGCGCTGTTTCAAACGCACATCTTTATCGATTGTTTATTTGCAGTCCATAAATGCATCCAGAATTCAGGGTATAAGTACATGATACTCGTGCACCACATTTTATGGATACACAAGAATATATTATCTTCTTTCTCAGTCACTCTTGAATTTTGATTGTTTGATTTTGTCAGGTACGTCAACTGATATGGTCAATAGTCCCGTTAATGTAGTGAATGTTTTTATCGTGGGGGAGGCAGATGTAGTTTTCTTCTCCCATTAGATGGTGAGATCTAACGTAGGCCTAGGATTCAGAGATTTCCCGTTCTGGGTATTTCCCCCAGCGGGGCATCGCGCCAGCCGAGACGAGTAAGCTCTAAGCTCCCGACGCGTCGCGACGTGTCTCTCGATATGCGTGGCAGTGTAGTCAGTGTAAGTGAAACTGTGTGTATGAGGACAGGATAGGGCAAGGACGAGGAAGAAAGATCACGCGCGGCCCCTTAAGATGAATTTCGCATGGTATTGATCGGAGAAACCACGTAAAACTACCGATCAGAGCAATCAGCCGCTAGAATTCTTCTCCAGACAGCGATTCAATTCGATCCAGCTATTAAGCTATTGTCGAATATCCGCTACCGTCAGGATTCAAATCCTAGGTCTCACCCAGCCGCGAGACTTCAAAAACAGCAGTTCTAATCTAAACTCAGTCTCCATGGGTTTTGATGTGATGTCCGTCTACTCGCAGAACAACCAGAGACATTTCTAGATCAAAGGGAATGAATTACTTAGGATTCGTCCATCGCAGGGCATTTATAATGGGATTGGGAAGGAAGCATTGCGCGCAATCGGTGAGGCGTTATTTAAGTAACTTCTGCAACACCCGCATGGAACTGATGGGAAGGAAGCGCAATAGCGACCGACAAAAGAAGTCAGTTTTTATAGTTCTCAAAGAGGTCTTCCAACCCAACAATTTAGGTGGGGTCGTAAATCCGTCATTATCAGGACTGAATCCTAGGACTCTCCGATGATCAAGGCTTTAGTTGCGGACTCACAATCACATACTACGCTGATCCATATTGTACGGAGTGCATACACAAATTCAAAGAGCAGCTTTGAGAGAGTTGTAGAATTAGGTAAGAAAGATTTTTTAAAGTAGAAAATACCTATTACAGACTTAAATTCCTTTCATCGATATCAAATATAACATAAGACATTTTAAAAGTATATTATACGGGAATATTTATTTTGTAAAATTACCAAACTTTTTAAAAATACATTTAATGGAGAGTAATGTGTCATTTTGTGCATGAATGAAAGTATTACGTTTGAATATAATATTATTAAAAGATTATTAAATAAATGTTCATGAAATGTGAGTGCAATATAAAGTAGAAAGAATGATATAAAAATCTGCCCGAGTTTCACGGAAATACTTTAAACACGAATATTTTCTCTTCTTTACGTATGAGATTATGGATCATCCTGTAGACGGAAACACAGAAAACCCACGACGATCATAAAAAGAGAAAAATCTGTGACTCGGGGCCCCCCCAAGAAGAGAAAGAACTAAGAAAATCAAGAGGGAGATTATGTAAGGAAAGGAGATTTGGAACTAAGAACGTTACAACAGACTTCTTCATATTGAAGACGACGGTGCGCCCGGAGACGGCGAGAATTTTTATTTTGAAAAATCTCCTCCGCGCGCCGCGTTCCGTAACCCCAGAAAGCTCTTGATCATCCCCCGAGGAGGGCTCTTCCGTTGGCGCTCTCAACGCCCCCGCCATCTCCCCGCCCCCAGCCCCGCCGCCTCTCC